ACTGGGCCGAAGGGGCCTCTGATCTAGGTAGTGCTCCTGTGGGACTCTAGTAGGGGTAGGGCCGATATGACCACTTTGACTATGAACTAACTGACGGGTCTATTTTCGTAGTTTTTCAATAGGCCTTCTATAGTGGTCTTTTTGCTTCGGTCCACTTTGCTTTAATCAAGCTAGCGATACGTCAGATGTCACTCTTCGTGACGTAAACCCCTGAGGAGTTCCGGTTACGGCGACCGAACGAAACATGTCTCTTCGTGACGTAGACCCCTGAGGAGTTCCGGTTACGGCGACCGGACGAAACATGTCGGGTCATCCATCGCTGAGCCTGCTTTGACGTTGACGATACGAGCGCGATGCTTGCTTATGGTTCAGGCTCCTAGGCTTGTACTTTCATGGTTATTTTTAAGCCTTTCTTTTTTTTTTTTTTGAGAAAGACAGCCCGAGGAGGTGGTAGTGGTGCTGGTAAGAGCAGACACCACTACTACTTCTCATGGCGGCTCCGTCTATTGGTGGGGAGCGGCACCTGCTGGAAACTGGGTCCAGCATCCCTGCACATTATAACATCTCACATATTTATGCCTGCACACATCAAAGCTTTTGGTGCCTGCTATGAAATCCAGTCCTTGAGAGCAAGTGGACTTTGCTAGAGATCTGCCTCTTCAGCCCTTCATTGGGCCGCCTGATGCTATCCATAGACTCTAGCAGTCTAGCTACTCTTATGATGCCGCTCCTCACTCTCCCTCATACCATGCCTTGCCTACAAGACTATTTGCTGGGGGGGCGAAGAAGTCGGGGAATTGGTCGCTTGGCCGCAGTGGAATTGAATCTTCTAGCTTGGTCCCATCATTGAAGAGGAGTCTGTAGTCTCTGATTATCTGCTCGTTGTCCTGCCCCTCCTCCTGCCCCTTTTCCCTTCCTTTCCATTCCACTTTCCCCATCCTCCCCCCCGTTTCCCCCCCSAGCCATTCTCTGCAGAATCTTTGAATTTTTTCCTTGATTTCGTTTTGAGTGTGGGTGTGTTTGATTTGCGTTTTTACTTTCTCCCATCTTGCTATTATGTTTGTCTGGATCTGTTGCTGTATGCTCTCCGTAAATTTTGGCCCTTCCAATCTCACACCCTCCATCTCATAGGTGCAGCGTCGTCTCCATAGTGCCCATAACACTGCCCTGCGTCGTTGTTTGAACATGTTAAGGATGAAGTCGTCGGGCTGTTCCAAGGGCCATATTTCCAACATCAGGGCCCTCGAGTCCCATGGCCAGGGTGTCCCTGTCCCGAGTTGATCCCAGATTCTATCCCACCATCGCCAGAGCCAGACAACGCCTGGGTATTGGAGAAAGATGTGTTCTATTGTCTCTGGTCTTTTTCTTGATGGGAATGCATTCGTGCATAATCTACACCAGGGTACGGCAAGCCCTTTCTGTTCGAGGTTAGTCCTGTCAATCAGCCAATTATTAGTTGGTAGGCACCTGTGCTCCATTTGCCATTGTAAGGAGACCAGGTTGGCCGGTTTAGATTTGATTAGTTGGAACCATGTAACTTTCCTCAGCGCTTCTTTGCTGATGTTCAAGTGATTCATCCATCTCGCTTCCACTCGGTCCCACAAATTTATTTTCGGTCGGAGCATTCTGTATGTTGCTTTGACTGTGACACCAGTCAGCATTTTAGTGTTGGTTCTGCCCCTGCCTATTGTGTTCGTCCATACCCATTCCCAGGGGTCCAAGGGCAGTTGGAAGATCTACGTGTCTGGGAAGAACGCCACCCATCTCTTGTCCTCCCTCAACACTCTAATTCTTGAGAGTTCCTTCTCTTCGACTAATTGTATCTGTTCAGGATTAGCCTTTTGGAGTGAGATGTTTTTGCTAATTGTGAAGATGTCTACTGCCACCGATCCCGTCGGGTCTCTGTGCACCACATTGGCCACTTCTCCCTTACGACCCCGAATTAGAACCCAGTCCAACTCTCATATCGAGGACCCCTTTCTCAGGATTTTCCACCGGTTTAGGGGGATGCATTCTATCAAGTTTTTCAGGGTCTCCTCCGGTTTGTGGCAATACCTCAGCTTTTCCTTAAGTTGATCTCTTGCGATCCAGTCCCTCCTGTCCACGTCCCAAATGCCCCCAATTCTAAGGACCCCCTTTTTCATTGTCACGTTCGGGAGGATGCTGACGTGTCGCAGTGTGTTTTTTCTCTATTCTCCACCCCTCTTCCTCTTCTCCCTCCGCTTCCTCCTCCTCTTTCTCCTCCTCTTCTTCTTCTCACTCGCACTGTGTGGTCTACTCATGATGATTGGTTAGGTCCGTGTGGACCGAAGTCACTTGTTTATGGAGTGTTGCATGCATGATGATACTGATCTAACGAGGTGCTCCCGTACTCACCATCATTTCGACGCAGGAACCATTGTAGGAATTACACTACGATAGTGTAACGCGTAACAGTTGTCATTATCTGTGTTTTTCTCTCCGTGATACTCGTGGTTGACGTTCTATTACATAGTTTGGAATCTTTTAACGAGATGGCGGGTATTCGACCGGTTGAAGGATGCTTCCAGTGTGGATCTATGAGTCATTGGGTGAGGGACTGCCCACAGAGGATTGGTGGCTTTCGTCCTACTAGCGCCAACGCTGTGCCTACTGGCCAACCGGTGCTCACCTTACCTTCTCCGACTGCGGCGCCCGCTTCGACTGTTCCGCGGACCTCTGGTGCTGTCAACAATGGCTACCAGCAGCCACGACCTGGATGGTGGAGAGCTAATCAGGAACGCTTTGATGTGTGTTATAATAAGTATCTTGAGGATCAACAAAAGGAGACGAAGCGCAAGGAAGAGGAGGAAATGGCAAATAAGCTTAAGGAAGAAGAGAACCGAAAGGTGGAATGAAAGCGTGAGAGAGAGCAGCTCGAACAGGAGATGGGGGGGCGGTTAGATAAGAGATTGGAGCTTTTGGGACTCTCAAAGAAACCGAACCCTTCTGGTGAAGGTTGCAGTAAAGGAGGAGATGACGAGTTGATACGGCTCAAAATGGAGAATGAAGAACTAAGGAAAAAGCTGGAAGGTGGGGCAGTTTGACCTGAGGAAGATAGGGTGGTTCGTCTACAGAGGGAGCTTGCAGAGTTGCGAAGGCAAGTTACGAGTAAACAGACTGATGGCGATGAGATCTATGCTTTGAAGCAGGAGATTGAGGAATTGAGAAGCACTGCTTATGTAAAAACCAACTTCAAAACGGAGATTGTTGGTCTTCGGACTGAAATTAATGCCTTGCGTTAACAGAGTTTGCGTGCGGAAGAGGAGACAAGGATATGGAAGAACGACGAGCTCCGACCTGGAAACAAGCGGAGCAACGTGGCGGTCTCTACATCGGAATGCTCTAATCGAGGTACCCCTAAGCCACGTTGGACGAACAACGTGAGGCAGGCTGACAAATGGCGGGAGGAGTATCGAAAGATTCAAGGGATGCAGCAGGTGTCGGATGCGGAAGTCGCATTGTTAAAGGAATGGAGAGCTGAAGCTGAAAAGAAGAGAATGGATGCGGAGAAGCAGGTCAAAAACCTGCAAGAGCAGTTTAGTAAGTTGTCGGCCTCTTACGCGACTGGCGACTTGGCGACTGGCGGGACCAATTTGAAGGAAAAGCTGGAAGCGGCTGTATTGCGATCTGCTAGGAAGGGCAAGAAAGCTACCCCTGGAAGAATGGCACAGAAAGTTGCCGATAACAAGGGAAAAAACTTTGACGTGAATGAACGTTTTGCTTTCGTGGAAAATTTGAAGAAACAGCTATGTACGCTGAAGAAATCCGGTTTGGAACCTTACTGTAAGGAGGTTGGGATTAAGCTGGGCAGAGTTGAGGAAACCATTGATGCCACCGCTGAATACCGTGCAAGTAAGACCTTCCCTGAAAAAGGCAAGCGTCAAGTTGATGGGGTGGACTGTTCGGTGTTAGACGTTGATGATGATGAGATGCAAACGGCGGCGGATGGTGCCAATGAGGTCGAAGAAACGAGCATTGAGCTCTAGGGAGACGTCCCCAGCGTGGTAAAACTTTGGTCGCTAGCTAATTATTGCCGAGGTGAGCGATGTGGGATTTCCTTGGACTCTTTCCTTTCTTCGTCTTCGCTTAATGACTTGGATAGGCAACCTTCTGCGATCGTTACTGCTGATAGGTTTGTGTCACTTCTATCATCTGATCTTGTTGGGTCTGCCTTGTCGCCTCTTCCTAAACCTATGGATTTCTACCTTCGGGATCGTGAATTCAATGCTTTCTTTCGGCTTATTGTGGTGCAGTTGATTATTCGAGGGCAAGTTCCGTGGGCGGATAAGCTGAAAGGTTATCTATTAGATTGTCTTGTTGAGAATTTCGATTTCGAGAAGTGTAAGGGGCCGCTTGTGTACGCGTTGGTTTCCCCTTGGACTAGGCATGTCTGCGTTGGATCTACGACCCGTTCTCTGCCCGTGAGATGGATTGCGCATGTGTATAGGGCCCTTGATCCGCAGGTGGTGGAGAAGGGAAAGCAGAACCACAGACTGTATAGTTGGCTGAGACGTGGACGTGTGGGGCAGTATGTCGCCATACCGTTGTTGTCTCGTAGAGAGGAAGATGTATTGCATCTTGAGAAATGTGTTATTCGTTGGGTATGCCCACATTTGAACAGTAAGGATAAGGGGAACAAGGTGAGGCGAAAACGTTTGGGCAAACAAGAAAGAGGAAGGAAGCGTTTAAGAGAAGGGGGTACATTGGTTAAGGGTGGGATCTGGACACACCTGGTTTTTCACTCCACTACGGGATTAATTACGCCTCGTCTATCTGTTATCCTTGATGGTTGTGTGGCGAATAAGGTCTCCTCGGTCGGGATCGCGTGCACAGGCGGTGCTCGGCTGGGGGAGAACTAGAAGGTACTGAAACGGAGATTTGGCTCCTCGTTGGTTCATTCTGATGGTGTTACATTACCATTGAGGAAAAGTCGAGGCCTGCTGGTATCGGGGAAATTCTTGCTTTTCTCTGCTGTCGTCCCGTTTTTGTCTAGGTCTCTCGTTATGAAACCATCCCTGGCTCAGCTCTTGTCTGACCCATCTTCACGGAAGGATTTGTAGAAGTGGGAGTTCCCTGTTCTTGTGAGAGTTTTTTCGGCGATTCGAAGTTTTTCGGAGAAGCGCAGTCGTTGTCGATTACGCATGATCGTGTCTGGTGTTATTCGAAGGAGATTTAATGTCAATGTTAGGCATCGTCTGATTGTCCGGGTTACGTACAACGAGGGACTAAGTAAGTCAGGGTTACGTTCTTTTTGTGCTGACTGGGTTATGAGGGCTGATGTGGACGATGAATGGAAACGAATGATCGTCTGAAGGATGAGGGTTGTTTGGCTTAAAAACCGAAGTGTTGGTGATTTGCTGTTTAATTTTCGGGAGTATGCACAGGAGGAAGCGGTCGAATGTACGTGTTCCTCAATTCGGAATTTTCCACGTAAAGATGGACATATCACTTTTCGGATGAGTGAGTTGGCCGACGCGCCTGGGTGGATTCGGAATAGTAAGAATGTTGCCCGTCTGGCGAGGAAAGATGTGGTTGGCTGTCTTAAGAAACAGATTTCTGCCTCTCTCCTAGGACTGGACTTCGCGTTGCCTGCTATTAGACGTACTGATCTGCTAAGTTGTGTGAGGTGCATTGGTGAGGATACGAAGAATTGGTGCATGGAGGAAGAAGTAATTGCTTGGAGGGAGAAGATGAGCGGGTTGGTTAGGACTCCGATCGATCATAACTCGGGGGATACCTTGATATGTTGTCCGATGAAGTATCGTGAGGGGATGGACCAACTGTTCCTGGATAACCCGGATTTTGTGATCCGGGAAGAAATGGAGGATGCGTTGATGAAAATTTCGAGAGATACATACGTACGTACGGGATTGGATCATCTGGCTAAATGGGACAAACGGGGAAAGATGGGAAGAGCGTACGTCATTCCTAAACACAAGGATGTGTCCAGGTATCTACCCCTCGTTCTCTCAGTGCTGCGTGAAGGCTTGTCGGAAGATCTCTCGGGCTATCAACCAATTGACTTGGGAATTGCCGAAGCGTTCTAACTTTAATCTGAAGTGTACCGATATGCTGGTGGAATCTTTGGATCGCATTAATATGGATTTGAGGAAAGGTGAGGCGATGTTGACTGCTGCGTTCGATGTGAAAGAGATGTTCTGCAACCTTCCTCATGACTCTATGCGAAATGCATTGGATTGGTTAATTGATTTTTGGCAATTGAGGGGGGTCGAAGGAGTTCTTGTTAAAAATGTGGTAAAGGGGCGAAGCTCTTACGGGGAAAGAATGAGGATGGATGGCAGCGTGTTGAGTTCGATGTCATCCGTGACTTCTTGTGTTTCGACCTCAGTCACACCTTCGTCTCTGCATGTGGGCGGAGGTTGCAGCAGATAACTGGTATTCCTATGGGCAAGCCCTCTAGCCCCGCGGTCGCACGCATGCTTTGTATTTTTTCTGAATTTTCTTTTCTGTCATCTTTGGGATCGGACCGGCACCTGGTACATGGGGTCCGCTTGATTGATGATGTGTCCTTGTTCGTGAGATATGTTGAGTCTGATGTTGGGTCCTTGAGCAAGGCTTTGGCTCTTATGAGGGAATTTGAAGGATGTTATGACAATAACCTGACTCCGGAATGCACGGATAAATCGAGATGCTGGGATTTTCTCGGTTGTGTTGTGAGTGTGCTTGACTGGCCCATCGGAGTTCGGTGTGCTGCTGTTCACAAGAATCAAAGAGTGGTGTTGAAGGAAGGAGTTTGTTTTCAGAACCTGCAAGACGAGTGTTTGTATACCAGCAAACGACAGAGGATGGCGGTAGTAGGGTCGTTTATGCACAGAGCTAAGAGATTTACCTCTGTGCCTGGGGCAGAGGTCGCTTTCCTTTTGTCACTTAAGGTCGAATTGCGATTGCGGGGATTCAAGGATGAAGTTTTTGATAGGTCTCTGGTTAATTTTTCCTCCAAGTTTGGTGGGATTTGGGATGATTGGGTACCCTGTCTGACCAGGTGGGATAGGGTTCTCTCGAGCGAGAATACGGGTCGGGGGCTTTTTGGCCCGTACAGGCAGGGGGCACTGCTGCTGAGTAGGAAGTGACTGGGTTTCTGTCTTGTAAGCCTGGACTGGGCCGAAGGGGCCTCTGATCTAGGTAGTGCTCCTGTGGGACTCTAGTAGGGGTAGGGCCGATATGACCACTTTGACTATGAACTAACTGACCGGTCTATTTTCATAGTTTTTCAATAGGACTTCTATACTGGTCTCTTTGCTTTGGTCCACTTTGCTTTAAATCAAGCTAGCGATACGTCAGATGTCACTCTTCGTGACGTAGACCCCTGAGGAGTTCCGGTTACGGCGACCGGACGAAACATGTCTCTTCGTGACGTAGACCCCTGAGGAGTTCCGGTTGCGGCGACCAGACGAAACATGTCGGGTCATCCGCCGCTGAGCCTGCTTTGACGCTGACGATACGAGTGTGATGCTTGCTTACGGTTCAGGCTCCTAGGCTTGTACTTTCATGGTTATTTTTAAGCCTATTGTCACGTTCGGGAGGATGCTGACGTGTCACAGTGTGTTTTTTCTCTATTCTCCACCCCTCTTCCTCTTCTCCCTCCGCTTCTTCCTCCTCCTCCTCTTTCTCCTCCTCTTCTTCTTCTCACTCGCACTGTGTGGTCTACTCATGATGATTGGTTAGGTCCGTGTGGACCGACGTCACTTGTTTATGGAGTGTTGCATGCATGATGATACTGATCTGATGAGGTGCTCCCGTACTCACCACCCGGGACCCAGGCGGCCCGGCTGGTAGCCTAGCCTTTTTTTTTTTTTTTTTTTTCCCCAAGCCTTAGCTCTCTACTGGAGGGGGTGATACGAGCATCCCCCACTAGTAGTAGCCTCCGGCTGCTCCATCTATTGGTGGGGAGCTGCACCTGCTGGAAAACGGGTCCAGCGTCTCATTATACATGAAAGGCACAGATTACTCAGAATACTCAGACTGCCAGCATTGACTACCCAATCAAAAGAAAAGGGGGATTAACAGAGAAGCAAAAAGAAACGGAGGTCCAACTACAGAAAGAACTGTCCAGCAAACTGAAGGGAGTATTGGGGACTTACAGGAAAGAAACACAGTCGTATCACAACTATATTAACCCTCCAATAATAAATAAATAAATAAATAAAAACTCCAACAATAATCCCCTCGCCTCTGTCAGAGTTACCCTCTTATCCTTGCAGTCCAAACACTGTAAAGAGCCTGAGCTGCCATCACGGGTTTCCCACCACGCACCCTTGGATCTTTGTGTTTTTCTTCTTCTTCTTCTTCTTCTTGTTTTTTTTTTTTTGTTGTTGTTGAAAATAGCCCCTGCATAAGCCCTCTGTCCCGGCAGTGGTAAGAGAACCTTCAGAATTGAGGTATTATCCGTCGGGACTGCTCCATCTATTGGTGGGGAGCAGCACCTGCTGGGAACCGGGCCCAGCGTCCCATTGAAACATCTTGAGGCACAGGTTTGCTTGTTTGTAATCCTAGGGCTGTGGATGCATCTCTTCTCAACTCGGGGCTCCATTTTCCCTGGAGCTGCTGATAACACCCATCCCATCTTGGAGCACTCTTGTCTAAAGAACCAGCCCAGTTCTGCAGGCCCCCTGATCGTTAATGCTATGTGTTGTCCTAAACCCTCTACGAGCCCATGCATAACGCCCATGAGATCTGTAAGGCAGAGGGCTGTGGAATGAGATGAATGCCTCCATTCCCTCTTTGTTTGTCTCTAGCTTCTCTCTTTAACCTACAATGTTGCTTGTACCCCAGTCCTGTCCGAGCATGCGTGCTGTCGTGGGAGTCCAAAACCCTGCTTAAACCCTGCTTAACCCCTGCACTAAACCTTGTGAACAGACCATGGCATCACAGTACCACTCTCTCCACTTCTTCAGTCAGCCGTGCAGTAATTATCCTGTGAGCTGTTTCGTTCACGCCGTTGTTTCCTCCCTCCGTACTGGCAGTCGTCGTAAAGGGATTGGCATTCCCGCGGATCTTC